TTATTCCTGGCTGATGTTCAAAGATTGCCATGTTAAATCACACGTCAAAACGCTTTTCATTACCAGAAGACATTTTTCACATGTTTACGCCGCACTCAACAATATTCCAGCTATATGACTGGGGTCTGTAAATAATCGAGTCTGGGCCAGACAATCCAGTAATTGACATCATGAGCATCGAACCACTCAATTGGGATATGATGATACGTAATACGTAAGTCAGCCAGTCTGACCATTTAATCCCTTTAGTCGCCTGTGATGACAGGCCTAGGTTGCTGGGGACCTATATTCTTGCCAGGAATTTCCACAGGTCCACTGAGTCCTGAACGGCCATAACATTTGAGTTCGCTTCATGGCATGGTGCCCTGTCTCGGTTATAGCAGGGTAGTTACTAGTTATTCAAGACATTGTCTCTTGTGCAATTAGCTTCATCATTAACTGTTAGACTTAATTACAGCAACATGGCCGATGACTTAGTACACCCTAAAACCCTCCTGAAAATACACTAGGCCAGACATAGTTAAGGCTGAATTCTCCCGCAAAAGTCAATCTTGCTGAAAAGGAATTTACACCTCACATGTTGGTTCCTCACTCATTGAAAACCTACACTGCTGCCAGTTTCTTTTTTTACATAATTATATAATTTTAGCAAACATTTGAATGTACTGCAATGTGAAAGCTTTCAAACGAATTTTGTATGTTGTACAAATATAAAGATTAAAAAAAGTTAAGGAACCCCAGGTTCTTTCATATTACTCTTGTTAATCTGTAACAGCATCGCATTACCTAGTTTTATGAAAGAATAATGTGTTTCTTAACATTTTTTGTAGGCATGACAGTAACCATGGTAATATGAAAGAGTGAGTGAGTTTTGTTTAATGCTGCTTTTAACAGTATTCAAGTCATATCACTGCGTGTCAGCTTAATGTGGGAGGAAAGCCCCAAGTGATGCAGGTCTCAGACGTTAACCACTTCGGTGAAACCCACGTGCACGGGTATGGTGCTGACAAACCTAGAAGCATAATCGGGGTGAACCGGGATTCGGACCCACGATCATAGGTTTCTGGCGTGCCCAAGGGACGCAACTCTGCACTGCGAATTGCGGTGCCTTAGACGACTGGGCCACCCATGCCCCCTAATATGAAAGAACTGGGTGGTCCTCAACTTTTGCTTCAGGCATGACAGATTAACCTCTCTAAAATGAAAGAATTGATAGTCCTTAACTATTTTTGATGAATGACAGTGAACGAGCGAGTGTGTTTGGTTTTACTCTCCTTTCAGCAATATTCCAGCGGTATTTCGGTGGGGGACACCAGAAATGGGCTTCACATATTGTAGTTAAGTGGGGAATTGAACCAAGGGGAATCGAACCCAGGTCTTCTGCTACCCCACCGCCCCTGATGCATGTCAGATTAACCTTAGTAATATGAAAGAATTGGCTGGCCCTTAACTTCGAGCAGTCAACATCCATCTGTCCGATGCCAATAGTCACACAAACTTGGTACATTGTTACAAAGACCCAAGTGTGAAACAATGATTACATGATTACACTATCATCACAAACAGCAGCTTCATCTATCATTCATTACACGCACACACAAGATCCCACGAACATCCTCATCATCAGCAGGAAGCCCAAGGGAAGATAGGGTAGCATATCTCAGTTGAAAAGCCCCATTGAGGACAAGTATCAATATTTAAGTGCACTCTGTAAAGTCTATTGATACCCACATTACATTGGTACGCAACGCCCACCTGCCTGTCTCTCACATTCAGGTCCATCACTTAAGTCTAAATTATTCCTGCTCCAAATAACAAGATGTGTTTTCATTAACAGACCATGTGTCATTTTGATGAAATTGGTTACTTTCAGTGATGTTTCTTTTTGTGTCATACGAATGAGGTCTAAATAGATTCACTCGAGTGTAGGCCAAATGTGTGGTAAATTAATTAAGGAATTAAACCATAAACCATCACACAGCCAGCCTAAACAAGTCTTTAAAGAATAGGTGCCAACAAATGTCAGGGTGTATATCAAGGCTGAATGCAAGGCTGCCATGAACAACAATATTTAACTTGTCGGAACACTTTTTGATCTAACTCGACACATATGGAGATATTTCTTTTCAAAATTTCTTAAAATGATCTTTCATATTTTCCTCATTCTCCAAGGTCTTGGTGCACTTTTACAACACAATCTCAGAGCAACGACGATCATAACTCGCATATGTTAACACAGACGTTAGATAATCGGAAAGCTAAGACAGCTTTGTGTAAGTGGGCCCAGATCGATGTATGGTTTTGCCATAAAGTACTGTGCTCATTTGATCACATACTGGTGTTGCCTGGATCAAACAGACAAATGGCTGTGTCAGGGGAGGAATGCAGCTTCTCTGTTCTCTTTGATTATACAATCTAAAATACAGTTTCAATGCAATAACTGTGAAATATACAAGTGAACAATAATTCAGTTACTTAAGAATTGATTTCAATATTTTTGAGTTATAAATGTAAAACCAAAGAGCATACTGTATATATCCTGTATATACTTAAGCAAAGTGAGACCAGCCGTTCAACAGCTTAGACCCAGAAATCGTCATCTTATCAAAAAATATATATAAAGAAAAAAATACAAATTAGCCCAGAACAATGATTAAATTCAGCTGAGACAATCTAGACTTGCCAAATCATTCTAGCTGAGTTGGATCAATATTTTAATGTATTCTCTAGGGTCTGGTGTTGACATATGAAATATGGATCATAAACAATGTAGAATTGTGTTCCCACTGTGACATCATCATCATCCACAATGTCCAATCGATCCCCAAGCTGCTCAGCAGATACAGCAACAGACCTATTCTGCCTGGGACTCCCCATGGTGTTAAAAGGGTAGGTTAAAGAACTCTACCATGATGACTGTGCATAGATGTGACAGATTATATTCATGAAGCTGATAATCTGTTGTTGATACTGAACCATTTCTCCATGACTGTGTACATGAATACACTGAAGAACCAAACTCACAGCTTCATCTTCAACCCAAGTTATTCATTGCCTTCCCTGAGGAACTTACTTTACTTCACATAAATCTAAATAAGGACAATCTCCATTATAATGGCCCTATCACAAATGACCCATAAGCAGTAGGGGATAGTCAGCTGATTGGCAGTCTGCCACATGGGGAGACCCTCCGATATGATCCTCAATGGAGTGGTGCTTGCTCCCTGAGAACTGCACCCACCACATGTTATGCAGAAAGTGTCATTGATACACTTTCGTTTTCTTCTGCATAGGCTTTGTTCATGTTTAAACTTACCTTATGACGCCATCTCTTATTGCAGCGTATCACATCCAAAACAAAAGGATTTCATCTGGTCACATTAGAAGTGGGCACAGAGGCAGTGAAAATATTGGATAATAATATTAAAACAAAAGTGACTTTTGTAGGACCTTGAGTTCCATAAATGAATGCAGCAGAAAAAAATTAACATAACATTTTCTGCAGGACTTTGGTCAGATTGAGCTATTGGTTTGAAACTTGGGTCTAATATGCCGTGTCCTTCTTCCTCTAGCGGCCGCCAAATAAAAGCCTCCTGACCAGGGCCCCATTCCACAAAGCAAACGTATCACTACCTCAGTCGGAAGTCTATGTTGAAATATGAGAGTTACGACCAACTTAGCGCTTCAATCGCTTTGAACAGAGCCTGATCTGAGGCAAGAGCACCAATATACCAAATTACAAAACAGCTCCTTTTCCGACATTATGTAACTTACCAGTGGTTTACGAACCTATTTTCTTGATTAATATCAGAGTTCAACAAATATTTTTTACCAGGAAGCTTATTGTGCTATTATGTGTCTTTATGTGTACAAAGCGTAACTCCCAAACCTTAACATAGACTTACGACAGTCGTAGAGCTAAGGTTGTTCTGTACAACGGGCCACTGGTATACAAAATGAGACTGATCATTAGATATTCCCAACGATTCTAAATTATTGTTCTGATGTTACTGGCACTGCCTTGAGTTTCAGCGAATTTGTTGAATCCTGACTGGTGCTTATGCCTCATAAGATCAGAGTTGTCACTGACTGGAAATTTAGGTATTGCTAGATATCAACTCAAAAGAAACCCGATGGAGTGATTAATAATGAAAAAGATTACTCTGTATGTGTAAAGATAAGAATTACCTATTGACAAAAATTCATTTCTGCCTTATTATCATCGTCTCTATTTACCATGGGAATCTTGATAAATGGTAAAGTTTCTGTGCCAGTGAATTATTAATTCAATATTGAAACTCAGGTATTTAGGAACTTAGGAACTTATCAATATATTGATATTGGGGCTGTACACAGTATACATGTTTTAGCATAAAATAATGACAAACGGGGAGTCCTATTTCCTGTCCATCAACCGTCACAAATATATTGATGTCAGAACTCAATGAATGACTATTTTATAAGACATGTTTCGCTTTGAAGAAACGAGTGGTGATGGTGAAATGGGGTTTAACGTTGCATCCAAGATTATTGCACATATATAGAGCGACGTGCATGTACGTGTGTGTGTTTGTGTGGCTACTTGTACTTGTCCGGACTGATGCCGATTTATAGTGCTAGCTCACTGAGATACCATGCCGCAGTTTAACACGAATACCCCTCTCAGACACAGTATACTGACTCCGAGCCGACCAGTCCTTGTTTAGCCCCTTAATGCCGAGCGCCAGACAGGGTAACAACAAGTTCCATCTTTTAACGTCTTTTGGTATGATGCGGCCGGGGATCGAACACCAGACCTTCCGCTCTCCAGGCGGACGCTCTACCACTAGACCACGGAGGCAATCTTGAAGAAATGAGAAAACATCTACATAAGCGTGACCCGACTGTTACTGTTGCACCAACAGCATGAGTTTGTGCCCAGGGAGTGTGGGGATAGTGTAGCTGTTCCAGGAGCTGTTCCTGTAGCTGTTTATGAGTTGGGGTAAGAAGGAAACACTTACGATTCTTGCAATAAATAGAGTCTTGTAGGCTTCACCGGGTGCAGTGGAGGCTGGGTCCCCTGAAACAGCAAATATAACACTGTTACTCGTGTTAATGCACAGTGTATATGGTTGGGAAGTGAGTGAGTTTGGGACAATTCTTTGAACATATTCCAGTTATATCTAGGCATGTCAGCTGAATATGAATATGGTGCTGGTGCTGGAGCTGATAAACCTGGAAGCAATCAATGTGAACTGTGGTTCAGACCACTCTGCTGCGCTTTAAATAATTGGGCCACCCAGGTCCCCTGATGATGCCATACCATCCATAACGTCATACCAGGGATGTAATGTGATACCATCCATAACTTCATACCATTGATTTAATGAGATACCATCCATAACATCATACCAGGGATGTAATGAGCTACCATCCATAATGTCATACCAGGGATGTAATGAGCTACCATCCATACCATCATACCCTGGATGTATTGCGCTACCATCCATAATGTCAGAGCAGGGATGTATTGAGCTACCATTAATAATGTTATACCAGGGATGTAATGAGCTACCATCCATAATGTCGTACCAGGGATGTAATGTGATACCATCCATACCATCATACCCGGGATGTATTGAGCTACCATCCATAATGTCATACCATTGATTTAATGAGCTACCATCCATCATGTCATACCAGGGATGTAATGTGATACCATCCATAACGTCATACCAGGGATGTAATGAGATACCATCCATAATGTCAGACCAGTGATGTAATGAGATACATCACAGAAACTAAATATTTATGACTTTCACAATGCACCTGAGTAGTTGTCAACAACATTAATACATGCTTCATACAACAGAAGTCCTTTCCAAATATCACCCATATCTTGGTAATGTATGAATGATCAATATATATCTTTCCGTGGCCTTGACAGTCATCTCCTGAATGTCAATGCAGGTCTCTTATATGTTTTGAAACCTAAACAATGGTGCAACCTGGTTATTGCTCGAATTAATTCCACACAAAAATTCAGGAATGCACAAATTAAGCACCGATAATTAGTAAAATGCTAAATATATTATTTCATGTGAAAGAACCATAAGAAAGAAAACAACCATGTATCAACTATACGCAGCTGTCTTAATATGTTATCAATTAAAGTCCAAAAACAATCAAAATCAAACAAACAGGACTGATAAAAGTGTTCTAATGACTGAAACATTTCCTAACAGGATTTAGAAGAGGAGAGGAGTGGGGATGGAAAGAAGGGAGTGGAGGACAAGGGGGAGAGAGGAGCAAGGAGTGGTTACAGAATATTCTCCTTCCATTACCATAAAAAATTCCATATTCTATTTCCTACTGAGAGATTGTACCAAGTACAGAGATCAAACTTAAAGGGCAAGTTCACACGGAAATGAACCAATTTTTCTTGTACTTTTTCCACATTAAAAGTGTTAACATAGAAGTGTCATAGACAAAAATATAAAAACATCATATTTAATTAACATATTTTTTGCATTAAAACGATTTATATTTTTCACATTAACCAAGTGTTCTATTTCCATAACAAAAACACCATGGCTTATGCCCCTTGCAATATGACGTCATTGGTGCCAATTGATAAACATTATGACGTCATCATGCTTTGTTAGAGCCGCTTCACGTGGTGTAGGTACAGTTTTGTGATTCTAGCGTCTCAGATGCCAGCCAGAATTGTGTTATGCTGACTCACCACTGCGCCGGAGTGTGTCGTAGACCATGTTGTTTTACCGCAAACTGGTCCTTGATATCTTTTGCGTTGAGAATAGACAGGGACCCAGTTGAATTAGCACCAATTACGTCATAATCTAAGGGGGATAACTCAGGCCTATTTCGCTCGTAAAACGAAGGCCTCATAACGGCATATTATTTTAACACTATTGTGAGCTTCCTACTTTCACTGTGAAAAAAATGAGTGTATATTTTCAAACACAGATACTAACTAATTCTAAAATTGCGTTTTGTTTAGAAAAAGAAAGAAAGTGATTTTTGCGTGTACACTTCCCCTTTAATACAGGAGCACAAGGTTTGGCAAACCCTTCAATAAAACAGATAAATAGAAAGAGTTACTAACAAATAAATTTTGTCGGTTTTACATGAATAATTTAGGTGGAAGTGTAGCAATCTTTTAATTTTTTTATCACTTAAATACAAATTGGGTGCAAAAACATGTTTTTCCCCCCTTTTAGTATCAAAATAGCTTGTTTAAGAGTTGGATAAGATCGGTAACTATCATGCCAAGGTATTTAAAGTGTATTTTAGTATAAGGCCTAATGGTGACGGTCAGCCAGGATATATCTGTCTCTCCAATACGCTGAGGTCGAGACAATTGTTACTTCTCCACCACACATAGCGTGCCAGAGACTTCCTTTTCCTGGGTTTTACTACACACAAGTTCATAACGACCAAGAATGTGAAAACCCCAGGGACATGCAATATCAAAGTTTATCATATAGATAGAGTAGCTGGACTCCAGGCCTACCGGGAATAAACCTGATAGCCACACACTGGTAAACATTCACAATGCACAGCACTGTTAATTCAACTTCTGTTATTACCAAGACTCATTACAGACCCTAATGGTATCCCCTTTCATCAACATTTGGAGAAATGCTTTGATCTGATTAAGTATTTGTAACTGAGTGGTTCATGTTTTTAAATGTGGAATTAGGACCACATTAATGAAAAAAATCATATACTACTCAAAAGAAGTTAAAGAACACCCAATCTTTCAAGTTAGTATAGTACCTCTGTCATAAATCAAGTACTTATAATTTACTTTTTCCATTACCATAAGAAATTCCATGTTCTATTTCCCTACCGAAACGCTAGCCCCATCATGAAACAAGAGCGGTTTGGCAAACATTTCAGGAAAACAGATAAATACAATTCTGGTCCCAAAGAAATACAATTGGAGGTTTTGTAGTTTAAAAAAAAAATTAGCTTAGAGAGTAAGAAATCATTATTTTTGTCGCACTTAAACACATACTGGGTGCAAAAACATGTTTTTCCCCTTCTTTTTATATGCAAATAGCTTGTTTAAGAGTTGGAAAGATCAGTAACTATAATGCCAAGGTATTTAAAGTGTATTTTAGTATAAGGCCTAATGGTGACGGTCAGCCAGGATATATCTGTCTCTCCAATACGCTGAGGTCGAGACAATTGTTACTTCTCAACCACACATAGCGTGCCAGAGACTTCCTTTTCCTGGGTTTTACTACACACAAGTTCATAACGACCAAGAATGTGAAAACCCCAGGGACATGCAATATCAAAGTTTATCATATAGATAGAGTAGCTGGACTCCAGGCCTACCGGGAATAAACCTGATAGCCACACACTGGTAAATATAAACACATTCACAATGCACAGCACTAAGTATTTGCAACTTAGTGGGTCTTGAAACAAGGCGGTAAGGTGAAATGGGGTTTAACGTCACGTTCAAGACTATTGCACTTAAACTGAGTGTATATGTGTGCATGTGCATGTACTAATGCAAATTATATAGTGCTAGCCCACTGACATACCTTTGCCACAGTTTAACAAGAACACCCCACTCAGACAGTAAACTGACTTCGAGACGACCAGTCCTTGTTTTAGCCCCTTAATGCCAAGATTGAGGCAGGGTAACAACAAGTACCATCTTTTGGTACAACGTGGCCGAGGATCGAACCCCGACCTCCCACTCTCAGGGCAGATGCTCTAGACCACAGAGTTGGTCCTTGAAATAAGGAATTGGGATCACGAAATGAAAAGGATCATATATACTACTCAAAGATAGAGAACACCAGATTCTGTCAAGATCAACTACAGTAATATGAAAGAATCATGTCTTCTTTAACTTCTTTTGAGTAGTATTTGTCAACATTGCTCACACAGTTACTAACAAGATCAAAAACAGCATAAGATTTGAACTACTTCATAATTTAAATTTCATTTAAAATCAGATTCAAAACTTATTGCCTTGTGGTAAGCATTTGTGTCCACCAGCACTTGATAAATTATGTGTAAAATACACAGCGAAGTGTCAATTTCGTCAAAATCAACAAAGGAAAACTTATTCTGAGCTTGTGTATTGTTTATTAATGTTCTCAGAGAAGTTGCGAGCCGAAAAGACATATCATTTTCTGTCCGTATCGCCATCTCATTGAAACCCTGCTTCAAGATTACCATGGACGATGGTCCCTTGAGAAATCTCCCAGCTCACAAGACAAGAGTCAATGCAAGACAATACCAGCAGAAATCAATTATTAATAACTACAGGAAAATCAAACAGGCAGGATAATTTTTTTTTGTCAAAGAGTCAAATTAGCTGCTGTGACTATAGTAAAATCAAACATCTTGTAAGACATTATCAATCGCAGTGTAACCAGCTTGGAGGAGTTGTGTCCCTTTAAGTGTTACTGAGAAACTGAAAAAAGTAGCTTGGTAGCTCAATTATCTAGTTTCCTACAGGGCTCGAAAATCAGGGGTCCTTGTCAAAGCCCTAATGCTAAAAGTTCTATGGGTGGCCATATTCAAAGACAAGGCTTTTACCCTTCCTGTCCTGCTGAATTTTCCCCAAATGGACTGAACATGTGCCTTAACCTTTACTAATCTACATGGCCAAACTTGTCACTTGACATCCTTTCCAGTAGACTTTACTGTGGAAAAAATGGCAGCTATGCTTTCTGACCAAACAAAATGTTGCTAGACCCAGGCTCCTGACTAGTGGTTTAATTTGCAGAATGTGAAATAACCCCAGGAAACAGAGATGTCATGACGTGCATGTTTCATGTATCGATGCGTATCACAATACACGAGTCACGATACAATACATTCATACAAATTGTATGCACGTTGCATATAGACTGGCAAACAAGTAGAGGCTGCTGTCAATTAGTTGGGCTTACATAGCAGTAATGGGTTAATGCAAGTCATTTCTAATTGCATTCTGCCATCAGATTCACCATGTTACATGACAGGCAGTACTGAGCATAAATCCAGCTTTATGACGGCAGATTGTAAATAACTGAGCCTGGTCTAGAC